GCCGAGTATTGTTTAGAGTTTATCACTCTCCAAGTGTTAGCTACTTTACCAAGCTATTCCGTGTTTATTTCCTGTTTGGTCTCTAGTATTGTTCTGCGTCTTCCACTCTCCTGGTGTTAGCTGCTATACGGAGCCAGTTTATTGTCATATTTTTGTCTTTTTCATAGTTCCTAGTTTAGTCTAGTCTTGCCTGTTTTCCCGTGTATATATCTCTGCCTTTGTTTTTGGATTGCCCTGTCGTCCTGCAGTTTGAACTCTGTTTGCCCCTGCCTGGACCATTATCGTGTACCTGGATTATCTCTCTGTCTAGCACTCTGGATGTCGTTTGCTGATCGGAGATCCTTGTCTGCTCTTGGATTATTCTTGTCTTGCCCGTACCATACTCGTTTGCCATTGTTTGACCCTGCCTGTGTTCTGATCATGTTTATAAATAAAAGCTTGCACATGGATCCTCACGCTTCGTCGGCTCCATTACAAGTAATATATAATTACAAATATTGTAAATGCTAAATATGTATATAATTTTGTAACTTGTAAGCGTTATTATATAAATATTTAACTTTAGATTTTCTAAAAAGTGGCCAATGCTTTTGTAATTATTTTTGGAAGGCCTTCCAGAAAATCTTTAACAGTTTGTGTACCATGATATCATTCATCCGCTGCAATTTGTTACCTAATTTTGCAATATTTGCACATCGTCATTGCATTTCATGTAATTTTTTTGTATTAAGATACAGAGTCCTCAAAAGGTATTTGGACACTTAAGCCACAGCTCAAAAATGTCATTGCAATGCATTGTATAACAAAGTATCAAACTACTTTTAAAGCAAAGCATTTCAGAATTTTTTTTTATAAAGATATTTTGTTCAAAATTAACAAAGTATTTAGATACTTTCTGCAGTCACATTGCATATGGTTTTTTGGGGATGCTGTAATAATTGGCTGGATTAGTTATATAAATGACAGTCTCATCCACAACAGCAGCATTCTCCAAACAGAACCTGATTAGTGTGTGAGAGTCTGCATATTTCAGCGGCATCACAGCCTATCTATAGCGACATCAACAAGCCTCAACTCCGAGCCCCCCCGTACCCCAACCCCCTCCCCAGTGCAACAGTGTCCCATTAACACATCTGACTCCTGAAACGTGGCAGGAATGGCACTAGAATCACACACGCAGACATTATTCCCATACTCATGTTGGGAGGAGCTGGCTGAGGGATATCGCTTCCAATGAAGCACATGATGTACACCTGCAGTGTTTATCAAAACATATCAAACATCGTTGACAGCATCTGCAAGACATTCAGCACTGGTGCAGAGCAAAACATTTTAATGGGAAATAATAAAGCATAAAGTCTTGGAGTTGTACAACCTTGATTAATCTCATTAATTGCTGTTCCCCAATGACCGTTTGGTTACCAACATTCTTCAAAATATCTTTTGTATTCAGCAGAAGAAAGACATTCATACAGGTTTAGAACAGCTTGAGGGTGTGTAAATGATGGCAGGATTTTCATTTTTGGTTGAACATATATATATATATATATATATATATATATATATATATATATCTCAATGATACTAAAATAGCACTGGACAGTGCTATTGTGTTTTCAAACATTTTCATATTGCTGAATTGTTTTCGCTTTAATTGATTCCTTAAATTGTCTTTAATTGGTCTTTAAATGTCTTACAATTACCTCCATAAAACTCTCCAGCAACCCTGTCATTCAACAACTACATAAAATAAATAAAAACATAAAAAATCTAAACCACACCTGATGCGCATTCTTTATTCATCAGCAGAAGTATCATTTGTAGAAGAATTTTTTGTAGAAAAGGTACATTGCCAATCACCATCATGCACCGACCAAAGTGACCCGGACGCAACTAATGGTGTAACTATGACTTCCCAACTCATAAATACGCCCGTCCCCCTAGGACTCAATGCAGATATATGTACAGTGAAACAGTAACAAACAAAACTCTACTCAAGCAAGCAAAATCCAAACATCGGGAAAAGTAAAAAGAAGTTATGATAGGGTATGTTTTGGACCTCTAAAGCCAAAAACAAGATGGAATGGTAGGCCTATGTTTTTACAGTTTCTCTTTCTTGAGGTCTGGCAGCTGTTGTCTCAGGCTTAACACGCTTGCACAAGTAGCTTTCTATCCAGCAGTAAGGTGTGTCTGCTTGTTTTTGGGCAACTCGCCCGTGTTGAAACCGAGTCGGGGTGGTCACAAGACACTGCCAAAATTCATTATCCCCACAGCGTGACATGCAGGTGGATCCACAGGGTCAAAATAGCACTTAAAGCCTGTAGCCCGGGCACCCGGCAGGCGGGGTGTTCACATTGTTTCAATACATAAAAGTAGGATAAGCAGCATAATGGGATGGATAGGCATTCGAACGAGCTGGGGCGGCTTCCCTGGCACAAGGTGAGGTGTCCAGTTTATTAGCGAATGCAGCTATCAGCAGAACAGACAGCCAAGAATCTAGAGCAGACAGCTGGGTTTATGTCATGTGACGCTGATGGACTAACATACAGGCAATCACATGACAAAGCAAAAGAGAGGGATACAAAATGTATGTTTTTCATCTATTTTTTTTTACAATATCTTTCGACATTGATTCATCACTGAAATCCTGTTCAAGAAAAGCAAGTATAGATCTGACATTCTTCCTTTCTTTCTCAGATAAGCCATTATAAACATCTGAAAGAAAAAATCTGCCATCTCAAATACTTCCTTTTTAAACTTTACTTTTCTTTAAAAATGATTTGTAACTGACAAGCTGGAGGGCAAATGAAGTACATGAATTTAAGTCATTTAAATTTAACGGAATCATTTCAAAGCTCTGTTTTGAGCAGATGTTGCCATTTTTGTTGTGCTCCTCTAACACTAAAAACCGGCAATTGATCAATAATAGATTATTATGAATTATTAACTGTATCCTCCATTTCACTTTTCATCTTTTCATCATTTTGAGTATCACCTGGACTAAAAAAAGCCAGATCCTTAATGACATCATCCACCAGGAAGTGACATCATTTTCAGCAGGAAAACAACAACACAAACATTTTGTGATAGTAATTGGTTTATGTCATTTACAAAAACATTTGATATAATAACAGAAATTAGTAGTGATGATCGCAAAACATCAAAATGAAGTTAACTTTAGCTTAACTAATTAGCTAACTTCCAATCCCTCGCTGAGCGATTGATATCTTTAGCTCTGCATGTTCTGTTGATTTTCTTGTCATTGTGTAAATAACCAAGTTATAATTAGTAACGTTAAGGTGTCGAAGCTTGACCACCCTTGTAAAAGAAATGCACTTTAGCACACTTTTATACTTATTATGCAGATAATGTGCTTAAGTGTGACCTGAATGCAATATTCCCAGACACTTGTTTGCATGTTAAATGAAAACATGTTATCATGAAAAAAGCCAGAAAATTTCAGTTTTGACAATATGTGAACTTTAAAAGACGAACTGGTTTGAGAATGCCACCAAAGCAACTTCTGATCTGGATCCAACAGTATATATCACTGGATCCACTAAAATGAGCTTATAAGAAACTTAACCACTAAGTTTGAAAATAAAATTGAGGACAATGCACTAGCCACACACTTCTAACTGCAGTTCTCTAACCAGTTAGACATTGTTGTGCTGATAATGAGCCCATTATACACTAATGACACCTGTAAGTGTCTACTCTAAATCTCATCTTCATTTACAAGAGCATAATGTAAGGCAGGTTAAACAGCAACAAAATAACACTGAACTTCTGATAATTTATATAGCAACTGAATGGACTGTTGTTATCATGGCGAATACATGACATGCAGTCCCTTATGATTTTAGCTTACTTTTAAAAACAGTAATTATTGCAGAAATAATATACTTTAAAAACAATAATGCTTAATTGTGAATTGAATGCAGTGTTTTTGACACTTAATTGAATGTTATTTACAATTAAAGTGTATTAAGTTTAAATTTATATTAAATGATGTTTTTTAAGTGTGACTTCAGTACAACTTTATATGTAATTTCATAATTTCACTTCTATTGTCTTTGAAATATGGTTAAAGTGTACTTCCAAATGTACTGACAAGTGTTAATAGTAAAGTAAAATATACTTAAGTGAAAAATAAATGTATAGTAAAATATACTTTAATGTCATTGAATGCCATTGAAACTTGTATGTCATGTATTTAAAAATATGCCATTTGTAATGATCAGGTGACTTACACTAGTACATTTAAAATATTAACTTTTAATGTAATATCAAATAACAAACTACACTGAAAAAAATGTATTCATTGAATTTAACATTTTTTTAAGGTAAGTAGTTGCAAGCAATTTATTTTAGCTACATTTAAATAAACAAATTTAGTTGACTAACTTTCAAATTTTTTTTAATGTAGCTAAAATAAATTGTTTGTGACCACTTACCATAAAAAATGTAGTATCATTTTTTTCAGTGTATAGTTCAAATAATCAAGTACGTGCTTTGGTATGTTAGTCACCATCAAAATAAGCATACTTCTTTAAAGCACGACAAAACGTTATTAAAATATAGTGATTTAAAATATAATTTAAAGTAAAGCTTTTAATTTGACATTATTACAAAGTGCACTATTTAAAAGTGTACTTAAGTGAGAGTTTTTAGATTTCTTGATAATAAAGGCTTTTTAATTCACAAGAGTGCCATGGTCATTCTGAAGTATTCTTTGATAAACTCTAGACCAGAGAGCACCTTGACCTTACAGCACCAGAACCCTGAGACGCACTCTCTACTGTTGGACTTTGTGTACTTAAGTGTGTTGAGAAACATACTTTAAGTACATACTTTAAGTTGCCTTTTATTTCATTAATATTATAATGTCTACAAGTTTATAAAATACACTTGTAAGATTCGAAACACACTACAAGTGCACATTCAGTACAGTTAAGCACACTTCTTTTTCACGAGGGGTGTTATGTCAGCAAACCCACCTGCGTCTGAAGAGGGTGCCCAGGTGACACGGAAGATCCCTCGCAGACACTCACACATGGCAGAAGACAAGATACACGCTCACGCACACCGAACACGCATCCCACGCACCACTGATACGGGTCAGACCTCGGGAAGGCGTGCTGTGAGCAGATCGCTTCCAGTGAGCACGAAGCGGAGACGGTCACTGAGCCGTGAAGTGAGGGCAAACCGATACAGGAGGGGGTCGGAGGTAGACACAGAGAGTGTGATTTTGGGTTTCTTTGTTGGGGGGCATGTTGGTGTCAAAAGTGAACGAGAATGTGGTGGAGAAAAAAAAAAGAGAAGGATGTGGACAGAGGCTGACAACAGGGAGACAGGACAGAATGCTGCATTAGCTGGCGCAGAGAGTCAGCAGTTTGCGGCCCCCTGACTAAAGCTCCTGTCTTTTGTTCATCAGTGCCATGGCTTTAGTCCCGGCCCAACAGGGCCTTGTTATCGGGCTTAGTGAGAAACAGCTATCAGGGCTTCTGTCAGACAGAGCTCAACAGCTCCCACAATATAATTAAAAGAAAAACACATTCCCTCACTCACAGTCACAAACAGGCATCACTGCCAGCACACCTCTGCACTTCCTTCACTGCCATTGATTCTCAGATTGAAGAGGCAAGGGCTTACATCCAGCTGTCAAAAGATATACAGGACAATATGCATGATTGTGGTTATTTTGAAACAGATAGATCCGGTCCTGATAGGTCAAAACAGCATCCCAGTTATGCAATATACACCAAAGACCAACATTAGTTTACATGTCAAGGACTAGCTCTAGAAGTTTGACACACTACATATGCAGTAATTGTTTTATAAAAAGGCAGTGTGTTGGGTTTTGATACTTTTAAAAAGTGTAATTATTATGGAAATATACTTTAAGTGCAAAATTAATGTAACATTTTCAGACACTTAAAAGTCCCCATGAAATCAAAAGTAAAGTTTTTTGGGTGTTAGTATCAATATGTTAGTCTTAAGGTTATCTATAAGGCAGTGTGCTCCAAAACAGTGACAAAATTTGCATTTAGAAGATATAAGCATTCAAAGCTTGCAGTTCGTCACTTCCGCCAAAACGGCTCAACGATTTTTTTGACGTCACATCGTACTTCAGCTTCTCATCAAACTTTCTGTCCAATCAAATGCTCTCTAGAATCCGAAGTGCCCGCCCCCTACACTATAAAATAGACGCTGAAGCCGCGGCCGAAAACGATTCAAACAGTGTAAATATGCTTTCCATTGAGGAAAAAAAGAAGTCTGGTTTGGCGCTGTGTCACGCTAACCACCGCACCGCACACACACTCTGCTCTGGTCCAGAGATGCGATAACACAGAGCGGATCACATGCGAGAGTCGGCGTAGACCACAAAATGGATCGGAGCTATTTGAATTCTACACAGAATGCTATATTTTACAGCAATATGGATGAGATTGTGGCTGGCATACCCTGTCAAATGCGGCTTTACGGAGCTCAACGACTCTAATCGACTCTAGCCCAAGCTGTGATATAAACGAACGCTATTGGCTATTTTAAAAAGGGGCGGGGCTGCTTTATGTCCCGCCCTGTCTTCCTGTTTCAGTTAAAATGACGTCAACACATAGAGTAACGCTGCGTGTTTCTAAACATTTCAGGGGACCTTTAACTGTATGTTATTTACAATTACATTAAAATTTGTTAATAGTTTCAATTTATTTTAAATGCAGTTAGATGAACTTAAGAGAACTTTCTTGATCTACTTAAGTAGGGTTTAAGTACAGTGCAACTTTCTACTTGAATATATTTTAAAATGTAATTTATTCCTGTGATCAAAGCTGAATTCTCAGTGTCACTACTCCAGTCTAATGATGCTGAAAATTCAGCTTTTCATCACAGGAATAAATTTCATTTCAAAATATATTTAAATAGAAAAGAGTTATTTTAAATTGTAATAATGTTTCAAAACTTTACTGTTTTTTTATTTAAAAAATGCAGACTTGGTGAGCATAAGAGACTTGTTACAAAAAAAAAAATTTAATCTAAATTATTCCAAACTCGAATATAATTTAAATGCAGTTAGTTGAACTTAAGACAACTTTCTTGACACACTTAAGTTGGAGTACAGTACATCTTTGTATGCATTTTCACAATTACTTCTATTGTCTTTGAAATATGGTTAAATTGTACTGCTGGATGTACTGACAAGCATTTATGGTAAAAATAAATATCATACATAAAAAATATGAACACTAAACACTAAAAATATGTCATACATAATGTATTTAAAAATATTTGGAATTAAACATTTGCAATGATGACATTGCATTTTATTACATTTAAGATATATTAACTTGAAATGCAATATTAAATAATATTTAGTTAAAATTACAAAATGTATTTTAAAAGTGTACTTATGTGTATTAAGAAAGAGTAATGAAAATATGCTCTTTAGTGCCCTTTTTTCATTAATATGATATTATATGCATGTACAGTTTTGAAACCACTACAAGTGCACATTCAATACAATTAAGCACACTTATTTACTTTTTTCACAATGTAAAGCATGGCCTCTTGTATATTATTGCCCAATTATGACAATTACATTTTTGATATTTATAACTGGAACAATATGTTGTGTGGTAATAGTGGGTTTCATCATCCAAGGCAAAACTAACGCAATTTTGAAGCAGACCGTAAATGCACATGTGGCAGATTATAAACCAACAGCCTCCCACTTAAACCATTTTCTAGATGAAGCCGCTTGACTAATCGAATTTTTCACACATTAGAACCACAGACTCCAGGCTCATGGTATTTCATTTGAGCTATGGTGTTTGTAAACATTTATATAATTCATGCTCAGTGAATAATACTGTCTTTAAAATGCATGACTACCTCGTACAATAACTTAATCTACTTTTTTTGGAGTAAAGGCCTCAGTAAGAGCTGTAAACTTCAGCCTAATGAATACACGCCATAAAACTTAATCATTCTACTGTGTTGAACTCAAAGCCTTTTAACTATACTAAAAATACTTCATCTGCTGTGCAGACCACAAACACATGATGTATTTTGACCAGAAAGTAAACTGTTCAAATCAAGATTATTCATGAACAGGATCTGAATCAAAGGGTTATTTATAGCATTGCTCCACTTCGATGAAAGCAAGTCAATCAGTGGACTGTCTTTATAGCCTTCACCTGTAAACTGAAGCTCACTCACAAACAAAAGATCAAAACATTTCAGCAGCACAAGGACTAAATACAGCAAATGCGTTTATTTAACAGGAAATGGCATTCAAAAAGTAAAATGTTCTCTACAAAACCTAATTCACAATTGTTTTGTATTACAATATGATTACAAAAAATCAGAATGGTATTATGTTCTTCCAGTAAATGTTTTTAAACATAATCAAATGGTTATGCTACTTCCACGTCTTCATAAAGGCTGACTTCCGGGCCATTCTCATTAGGCGTCCTGAAATGAAAGATCAGAAAGGAATATGAAATCAGACAAAAATTGAAGCGGTTAATTATGAATATTAATAAGTAATGAAGTAATACACTACAGGTCAACAGTCTCTTATGTTTACCAAGGCATGCATTTATTTGATAACAAATACAGTAAAAACTGTTTTCTATTTGAATATATTTTAAAATGTAATTTATTCCTGTTATGAAAAGCTCACAAAAGTGTCACTACTCCAGTCTAATAATGCTGAAAATTCAGCTTATCGTCACAGCTACATTTCATTTCAAAATATATTCAAATAGATAACAGTTATTTTAAATTGTAGCAATATTTCAAAATTGTATTGTATTTTTGCCTTGGTGAGCATGAGAGACATGAAATAAAAAATCTGAATTATTCCAAACTGGTAGTGTATATCATTTATCAAAAGTATACACATCAATTAGACTGCCAAAATATGTTGGAATCTCCTATAGCGTCATTTTGAGGGTGTATGACCACATCCCACCTCCACCCATCTTCCCCTGGGTGGCACACACACCCACTCTCTCCAGAACACACAAACAGACACGCTAATGCTGTCCGGATGGTAATTAAAGTGCAAGAGATTTCACAGTCACACAGAAAGCTACAGTCTCTCAATAAAATACTGTAGATGCTGAAATGGTTGAGAACCCAAATTAAACCCCAAGCTGTGAGCTAGAAGCATTGTACCCTTGAGTAGTACATTTTAATCAGTGTTGAAAACTTTGAGTTGTGCTGCTTAATATCTTTATTGAAAACCATGATACAATTTTCCAGAATGTTTTAATGAATAGATGATTCAAAAGAGCATCATTTATTTGAAATAGAAATCTTTTGTAACATTATAAATGTGACCCTGGACCACAAAACCAGTCTTAAAGGGTTAGTTCACCCAAAAATGAAAATTAGGCTGCGTTTTACTCACCCCCGAGGCATCCTAGGCGTATATGACTTTCTTCTTTCAGACGAATCCAGTCGGAGTTATATTAAAAATTGTCTTTGATCGTTCAAGCTGTTTAATGCCACTCAGCGGGTTTTGCATGCATCAGTCCAAAAGAAGTAAAATAAAAATTGCCCAACCATAAAAAAAAGTGTCTCACTCCGGGGGGTGAACAAAGGCCTCCTGTAGCGAATCGATGCGTTTTTGTAAGAAAAATATCCATATTCAAAACGTAATAATCACTTGAATCTAGCTTGCGCCAGTAACAGTTGTACACGGTCCAGTCCAGGGTCACAAATGTCTTTAATGTCACTTTTGATTAATTTAATGCATCCTGAATAAAAGTATTCTTTTTTTTATTTACCCCAAACTTTTGAAAGATAACATGGTTTCCACAAACATATGAAGCAGCACAACTGTTTTCAACATTGATAATAATAATGAATGTTTCTTGAGCAGCAAATCAGCATCTTAGAATGATTTCTGAAGGATCATGTGACACTGAAGACTGGAGGAATGATGCTGAAAATTCAACATAAACATCACAGGAATAAATTACATTTTAAAATATATTCACATAGAAAACTGTTATTTTATACTGTAATAATATTTTGTTTTTACAGTATTTTCCATCAAATAAATGCAGTCTTGGTGAAGAGACTTCTTTCAAAAACATAAAAAAATCTTTTGGACTTAGAAATAGTCTCATAGCTGTACTAGTGACTTTTTGCTTTTTTGAAGCCGACTGTGGACACAGCAAATAAGCTGATGAATCACACACACATCTTCTGTTTCAACTGAAATGACAGGAAAACAGTTAATCCTGTGATCTCGTGGAGGTCCAAAAGTCTCAATGAAATCACACAGCAGTCATTTTTATAAGTTA